GTCTGAATATGCCTAGAACAATATAATAAGCTAGGCGAGAATATTAGAGTTACTCTTAGGTCCTGGCACATAACGGGGTACAGCGTAACGAGATTGCAGATAGTCTTGCAAGGAAAGGGGCTCAAACACGATTTGTAGGACCTGAATCGTTCTGCGGTATCAGCAATAATATATTAGGAGAGATTAAAAAGAATTAAGCAGTAAAAGAACCGATAATTGGAACAACATTTTGTGGCTAAGACAGTCTAACATACTTCTGGGAAAGATCAGAAGCTTGCATCTGCCTGAGCAAGAACAGGCTACGTATTGTAACAGGGATCCTTACCGTGCATTGCCGACCAAAAGGACATGTTAGTAGACTGAGAGTAGTAAAGGATAGTGAGTACAGATACTATGAGAAGAAGGACGAACCCTCCATTCACATTCTAACTGAATGTGTAGCACTCCAGAATCCAAGGGCACTATACCTAGGAAGATATCAAATAGAAGAGGGAGATTTATCTAACTTAAAGCCACCCCAAATCCTACACTTCCTTGTGAAGATAGGATTCAAAGGGTCGTTATAGGCATTGAAACAGTTTCTTGGTGTATTAGCGACGAAGGAAGGCACAATAGATCTTTTAGGTCGCAGTGTATTAACACCCTTTTCCCAACATAACATAATACAAATACAAAAGGGACAAGAAAAATATAGAAATTAACGACCAATTCAATTAAAATTTTATGGGAAACCTTAAAATCTAGAAGGTATACATTGTTGCTTGCGAGAAAACTCAACCACGACTGCATCGAAAACTTTTTGGTCATTAGAAATTGTTGTGGCAACGGTAGAAATCCAATCTTAATACAGTTTTCTAGGGCGTTTAAAAAATTACTATTAACACACACAATCAAGCAGTTCCTCTGGACCAAGTGGTAACCCACAAGATCTGGATAAAATAACTGATCGTCTACGAAACAATATAACATAAAACAAAAAATAGTTTGTTCTAAAATAAGTAGTATTATTTAATTTTACAATATTTCTTTTTTTTGTCTTAAACACTTCTCGAGTATCACTGAAGTAATATTTGTTTACATTACTATTATGAATAAAAATGTTTCGTTTTATCATTTGAATGTACGGTCTATTTTCACAGGCTTCAACAGACTATGAATTTGTTACTAGTAGAAATATAGATATTTTTGGTTTAAGTGCAACTTGGTTGTCACATGAGATGCAGACGATAAACTCTTACACACTTATTCGGGGAAGCTGAGTTAGACCAGCGCTGCAGGTGGCGTAATCTAGGTAGTTGAGTTAGGCCAGCGACCTTCTTTAATCCCTTGTCAATTTTTAATTAGGAGTATTAATAAGTAGTTAGGAGAATGATGTGTAGATACAATACGGATGTGAAGAAAATAGAAAAATACTATTTTGTTCTGTCTTTAATTGTCACTGCGTATACATTACGATCATGGAAGTCAAATATATTTTTAGCGAAAAGGGGAAAAAGTTGTTAGTTATAGGCAATTTTACATTTTGTGAGGCAAATACTCTTGCCAATGGTGAAGTGCGATGGCGACGTGTTAAAAAGAAAACCAAGTGTTCAGCCAAGGATTATATCCTTCATGACCAAATAATAGACGAGAAAACTGATGTCAATCACAACCATGACAACGACAGGCCTTTAGCAATGGCATAAAAAGGAAAGCATTGCAGGACCTGTCAGAAAAACCCTCAAAATTCATCCATCAAGAATTAAGGAAGAACGAGTTTTGTGACGATATCACCTCGCACGACATTCATAGAGTGCGAAAAAACATTTATGCCGCAAGGACGCTCTCCAAAAATCAAGAGGATGTTTTTACTTGTTTAGGTAAGATTAATCCTATTAAAAATAAAAACGAAGAGTTTCTTTCTATTTGTGATAGGCCTTCACAGATAATTGTGTTTGGTTGCAGAAGCAACTTTAATTTTTTTATGTTCAGTTGATACTATTTATATGAACAATACATTTCAATATTCGACCAAATATTTTGAACAGTTTTTTAAAATTCACGGTTACAAAAATGGACCTTTAGTTTTATGCTTATTGCCCTTAAAATCACAATGTGTATCTTAAATTATTTGAGTTATTGGATGCAAAATGTCAAACATTAAGTCTTTACTTTAAACCTTCTTTTGTTGTAATTGATTTTAAATTAGTGATTCATAATGCAGTTAAAATTATGTGGCAAAACGTAAAAATAATAGGCTGTCGCTTTCATTTATTTTAAGCCTGGTATCGAAAAATTCAATATTTAGGATTAAGCGCTGATTACCGTTCAGAAAATCAAGTAGGAAAATATTTGAAATATTTCTTTGGTCTTCCATTTCTAAAACCAGAAGAAGTTGGTGACTGTTTTGCATTTGATTTGTTTGAAAATAATGATTTAGTAGGAAACCAAAAAGTAATTGAATTTTGCGACTATTTAGTAGATAACTATACTGGGGCAAATGCTACATTTTCGCCGTTTGTATGGCCTTCAGCCACAGATTCGATGACACGTGCGACAAATTCTTGTGAGTTATTTCATTCATTATTTAATAGCCATTTTTATTCTTTCCATCCGAATATTTTTCAGTTTGTGGAAATTTTACTTAACTTTCAAATAGAAAGATATGTAACAATTGTAAGCGGTAACAAGCATGTAAAAAAACTACGGCCTCACATCAAAAAAAGAAAATTATATTTATCGGACAATTGAAATGTAATGAGTTAAGTAGATTCAATTTTGTTTAATGCATTGATTATAAATATGCACCAAATAGTTTAATATAACCTGTACTTTATTATGTATTTGAACATATATGAAATAAACATTGTTTACAAATAGGAATTTTTATTTTCTGGCCTAACTCAACATAGCCTTTTATTGAGTTATCGGGGATTATAGCAGGTAGTTGGCCCAACTCGGTTGCGCCCCACTTATTTGTGCTGACTGAGATGACAGGGGCGGTGGTTTAGCATTTTACATAAACAAAAAAATTATTTATTTTATTTATTAGTTATTTTTATATTTATGTAGAAAAATGTATTCTTTCTTTGTTTTTTTGTCATGGTGATTAAAGACGATTTACTATTAATAAGAGAAAAATAATAAAGCAAAATATAAAATTAAGAATATTATAAAATTTAAATGTAACCCACGTTTAGCAACTTAAAATGTATAAAACGATTAAATTTTTCATTAGTGTACTGAAAACGTTATACAAACAAAAAAATTTGTGCCAAAGAAACATATTTAGTGTTCCACAAAAAGCATAAAGCAGCTAGAACCAACAATTCAGTTTAAATTTCACCATACAGGACCGTACTTAACGGAGCCTTTCAACATCCCTCGTAAGATTAATAGTTCGTATAAAGCATCTCCACTAGACTCTTCATACTCTATCATTTAATGTTTATTCTGGCATTATTAAATTTTGATTTATGTCCGTAATTGCATTTGTCATTTAATTGTAACATACTTGCTTGCGTTGCTGAATTCAAGTTGAGTGTGATTAATTAACGAATTGAATTAATGACCATGCCATGTCGGTTGCATTCGCCATTGTTTGATGTACATATATACAATATTCCGTTCGAATCGCGGCATATGTTTGTAACTTTCCGGAGCTTGGATCGGTATACACCACCACGCCTCCACCTATTATGCTTGCTTTGATGTCTTGAGGTTTTGTGTAATCACAAAAGACCGTTAAATTATTGGATTAAAAATTAAGAAGTACATTTGTAAATAATGAAAAATTATGAAAAATATTTTTTTTAACAATAGAGAAAAGGGTGTTTTAGCGTAACTTTGAATCCTAAATTACATATCGTCGGCTAAATGTGCTAACCTGCTAACTCACATGAAGCCCAATTTTCAGCATACAAAAAAAAACTGTCTTAATTATTACAAAATTGTGCATAGAACGACATATTTTAACAAAAGAATTCTCAGTATTTTGCAAACTGTTTTTTTAATATATTTTAATTTTTTTTCTACATCCATAAAATTTAGTTTGATGTTTTGAAAATTCTCTTTACGAATGAAAATTGCGGTGATTGCAGTATTTTTTATTAATTTGAATTGCAATGACATTGAACAAAAACGACAAACTAAGTATTTTAAAAACAAAAGTAAACTTAAAATAAAATAATTTTGTTACAAAAACTTATTAATTTTTAATAATGTAATTGTAGAAGCCATGATAATCGGCTGGTAAAGCTGACTTAAGATTTGGAGAATATTTTCGAGCAGAGATTTCAATTTTGTTTTGATGAAGACTATCCAGTTCAGCTTATGTTTTTGTACTGAGTTCTTATCGTCTTCGCTGAGGAAGAATAGTTTTTCCGACAATCGCAGTTTGTAAAATATTTCACCCTCGGGTGTATACTTTAAACCACGAATGTCATTAACCTAAAATAAAAAATATAATAATTTAAGGAACTAATAAAAGAATAAAGACAACATTAGGAAAAATATTTATCTTAGCATCTCCAGGTTTTCTTCCAGGTCTGATACTTTTTACCATTTCAATATTTTTAAACGACTTAAAGAAGGTATGGTCCAAATATTTTACATTATACGATCTATGATTCATTCTTGCTTTTGTTTGCAGTGAAATGCGTATTCGACTGGAACATTAATTTTTCTTGACTTCACACGACGCGACGTTCTATTGTGGAATGCAATGAATCTACTGGCATCTGGATGTTTCCCACTTCAAGATACTTATGTTCAATTGTTATTTGATATTGTTTTGTCAAATTAATAGCAACATTAGCCAGCACTATATTACGATTTTGGTATACGCAGCCATTCCTATTTTCTTCATCAATGAATGGAATAACGTAAATTTCAATGAAAAAATGAAAGCAAGATGAAAATTCTTCTGCATTGAGCCCCCTTTCTCCCTCCTGCCATAAATAACAATATCCATCCCTATTATTAATGTCAAAATAACACAAATTATGCACGCATAATTTTGTCTAATAGTAAAGGCTGTTAATATTAGATTTTGGTGAGAATAATACAGCCTGAAGATGGACGGTATAGACACATTTTTCATTTTCTTTATCTTTTTCCATTTCGCTTCTAGCTTTCCTTTTTCTTGTCATATGGTTGTTATAGTCTTCCTCTGTGATGTAGCCTTTCTTCAATTTATTACAAATTTCGCATTTATCCTTTTTGGCCTGAATATTGACATATTTTTAAAGGTTGAATATTTTCCTTTTTGTAGAATTTGTAAATTTCTTCTTTTGAAGTCCAATTGGGCAATAGGTAATTTTTGCTTGAAGAGGATCTACAGTAATGCGATTCCGTTATTGGTAATGAATCAATAAACTCTTGTATGCTGTTGTTTTCTGTTTCAAATGGTTTCTTTTTATTTTATTTTTCATTTCTATATACAGTTGGTATTTTTTAGAGTTTTTTTTACATCATCAACTTTTTCGTAATTTGAATACATATTTTTCCAATTTTGAATACTCCAACGACTCAAACCTACTGTGTTTAAGTACATTGTTCTACAAATTCTTATTTCCTGATCGCCAGTTTTCAAACAGTACTTAAAAGTTTGATTTCTTCTTGAATGTTCTGGTACTTTTCTATCTCTTGCCCTTTTAATAAATTCACTCTTCACAGTACTGTCTACGCGAATACCTTTTTTTTTCTCCCCAATATAGGCTCCAAAAATATTCTAATATGACTTTTCTTTATTGTTCTGTTATTTGATTGCATTTTAAAGTTGCGTTTTTAACTCTTCACTAGTACCTTTCTTTGATTTCCCTTGACTCTTTTTATGTCGTAAGACCACTTTCCGTTTACTTTAGTTTTATCAAAGTATCGCTTTCCTTTCTCTCGCCTATTTATATTCTTCTCTGAAAACCACGTTGCCTTTTCCACTTTAAATCTTTTTCGTCGCGTCTTTGTTTTTGTTGACATTTCATCAGAAGTACTATCTCTAAATATGGCACTAAATTAAGTGTATCGTAGTCACTATCATCCGATATATGCTGATAAACTTTCTTTTGTTTCAAACCTGCTTGTTCCTGCTGTGTTTTCTTTGTATATGACTTTATTTATTTTATGCTTGCCGATCCCTTGTTTTTCTTTTGCTTTTTCTGTTCTATAATTGTTAGTCTCTTTTTTATCTGTAATATCATCTACTTTATGATGTCCTTCCTCTTTCATTTTACTATTGGAATCATTTATATCCATGGTTTTCAATATTTCTGATTCCATAACATCATAATAATTTTCATTTAATGGAGATATTGTAACTTTGTCTTCAGAAAATGACGACTGGTAGTCAATAATTTCAATGTTAACATTTTCAACGATTTAAAAATTATTTACAGACACAATATTGTTAGTATCTTCATTTGAGTTATTTTTACATACAGCTTGCCTGGTTGCTAATTTTAAAATGTCGTTTGTTCGTTTTTACATATTATCTGTAAAAGAACATATCTAGCAGAGTATTCAAATAACAAATTGTTTTTGCATGCCTCATTGTACTTAATTATCATTGTACTTAAATATCTAAACGAAAATTGATATAAAATTAATTTAATCATATATTTTTTACATGAAGCATCCAACTTTTTAAACGTTAGGTAGACTACTTTTCAATGGACCCTATACGATATATTCATTTTTCCGGCAATTGAAGACATCGGAATTGTCTTACAAGAGGAAATTAAAGAAGTGTTAAAATCTGCAGAGACACTCAGAAGAGGAAGTTTACGCATCAGGGGTCTATCTTTTAAGCCATAATACTTTTATTATTATAAGAAAATAAGTTTAGTTTTTTGTTCTGTATTTTGTTTTTGTATTTTGTTAGTCATAAAACTTTTATAAGAAAATAAGTTTAGTTTTTTGTTCTGTATTTTGTAAGTCATAAAACTTTTATTATAAGAAGAAAATAAGTTTAGTTTTTTTTGTTATGTTCTGTTAATTGAATAAAGATTTTTAAGTTGTGCAACTTTATTTAAAAAATATTGTGGATGTTGATAGCAATTTGGAAGTGTTTAAACTATTATAAATAAGTTAGTACAACGTGCTTATTGTAATATTAAAATGATTTATGGAAACCGTCATTTGTTTCCTATTTTTGTAAAGAAACAACTCTGTGAAACATTAGTTTTATCTCTATTCAATTATGCGGATGCCGTTTACGGTCCAAACTTAACTGTGAGCTATCAGAATAAAATACAAAAAGTTCAGAATTCTTGTTTACGTATGATTTTTGGCATAGGAAGGCGTTGTAGAATATCTCACAAAATAAGTCAAGCTGGATGGTTGAATATGGAGGACAGGAGAAAACTACATTTTATCTCTTTGTGTCATAAAATAATAGTGAGTAAAAATCCACCCTATCTACATCGTAAAATAACTTATCGTTCTGACATTCATAACTTAAATATAAGAAACAAAGGATTGTTGACTGTTCCTGCTTTCATCACGGAGTTTTTCAGGCGTTCATATAGTTACCAAATTTGCTATTTATATAACCAAGTCTTACCAGAATTAAAAAATTGTAGTATTTCAAAATTTAAATTAAAAATGAAACAAAATCTCTTAGACGCTCAGTGATAAAGTTAACAATTTTATGATTAGTTTTTTTTATTTTTATATCAACATATAGCTTGATGCTGCCCATGTTACACTTTGCAGTCCTATCATTGCAGTCCTATAATTTTTTTTTATTGAAAATTTATTGCAAATTATACTTATCTAATTATAAAACAAAACCAATATACCTATTACACATTTTTAGGGTTGAGTGGAAGAATATTTTTGATTGTGTCCAATAAAATAATCAAAAATAAACTTCGCCCTTTATTTTCAATCTGCTATATTTTGTCATTAATTATGTTAATTGTATTTATTGGAAATAATAAAGACGTTTTTATTATTATTATTATTATTATTATTTATTTTATTGTCTCAAGTCATCCCAAGTCTAGCAGAATTGAAACTATAATCGAAATATATGAATGTTTCAAGTCACCCCAACTTTGGTATGACTTGAAACAAAGCTTATTTATTTTTTTATAATTTGTGGTGGGGTAATCCTTTTAGCAATGTCTCGAATTTATACTTTATGATCCAAAGTTTAGCTGACAATTTTTTTTATTGCCTAATTTCTTAAAATCCTTAAATTACAGCTCTAAATAAGTCAAAATTGTTTCAAGTCACCCCATTTTACGGTACAACCTTCTAGTTTTAAGGGGAGACGATATTTGCAGGCATGAATGTTGCAGAATTTTTAGATGACATTTTAATAACGGGACAGGATGAAGAAAAACATAGCCAACATATTTTAATAGTTTTTAAAAAATTACAAAAAGTCAGTTTTATAGAGTTTAAATAGAAAAATGTTCTTTTTTCCAGATTAAAATTAAATTTTTAGGTTTTGTTATTGATCATGAAGGATAACATACATTTCCTGAAAAAATTAAAGCAAATGTAAATGCTCCTTCTCTTACAAACGTTACTGATCTTAAATCTTTTTTAGGTTAGGTGAATTATTACGCAAAATTTTGTAAACATGTTAGTTCTAAATTAAATCTCATATATTTTTTATTAAGAAAAGATTCTAAATCGTGTTGGAAAGTGTCAAAAAGAAGAATTAAACTTAATAAAAAAGGAATTAGCATCCAAAAAAGTAATATTGAAACCGGTTCAACAATAAAGTTTGAAACATCCTGGTAATTTATACTAATTTAACATTCTGTCCTATTTGAGTAGAGTATTACTGGTATTACAGCTGTCAGTCCAACCTTTCTTTCCTTCTTTAATTAATTAATGTAGGTGTAAAGAATACGTATCCATTTCACATATACTAAATAACAATAAAATAGTAAAACAAAAAATAATTGAAATAAAAATACCCATCCATTTTCTTTTTCCTCTTAAACCTACCTCTGTCCAACAGGTAATTTTTTCTTTCCGTTGATATATTTACATTGTAACGAAGCAATTCATCAAGCTGCTACATACCCTGTCTTTTATAGACCCGTATTTTTGGAGCGAAATCAAGCTCATTCCACAATGGCCTTCCGTGGAACAACCTATCTTTTGCGGTTTTAGAATAAACTTAAACAATAGTAGAATAATGAATTATTATTCTATGGGGCTGTAGTGGTAGGTAAAATGAATAGACCAGACAGAAATTAATCATGGAAAGAATGAATTTTAAATATTCTGCGAAGAGAAAAATTAAACTGAAATAAAAATATGGCTGTTAGGATATGCATATTATTTCCGAGAAAAAAAAACAGAACATATATCGGTATTAAAATCAGTAAAAAATAATGGGATTTACTGAACCGATTTAACACAAAGAGTGCCAACTCTATGAGGTTTGCTGCAATATATCTTGCAAAATCTGTAATTAAAAATGTATTTTTTACAATAATATGAATTCCTCTGATAGTTCTCTTTCATTTAATGCAATCACAAAAATGGATATTTATAAAAGTTTAAAAAGTATTTCATCTAATGCATATAATAGCAATAATAGTTTAATAATAGTTTAATAATAGTTTAATAATAGTTTAATAATAGTTTAATAATAGTTTAATAATAGTTTAATAATAGTTTAATAATAGTTTAATAATAGTTTAATAATAGTTTAATAATAGTTTAATAATAGTTTAATAATAGTTTAATAATAGTTTAATAATAGTTTAATAATAGTTTAATAATAGTTTAATAATAGTTTAATAATAGTTTAGTTAAATAATAGTTTAATAATAGTTTAGTTTAATAATAGTTTAATAATAGTTTAATAATAGTTTAATAATAGTTTAGTTTAATAATAGTTTAGTTTATTAATAGTTTAATAATAGTTTAATAATAGTTAATTCATCCAAAAATATAGTTATAAAAAAATACAAATTGTAGCTTAAAATTAAAAGTAATTGAATGAATTAAGGTATAGTCAATAAGTAGGTACTTACTTGTTTCGATTATAATACATGAAACTTAAAAAAAAATGTACAATAAATAATTATTTAAAAACATTAATGTTGTACAGATAGAAAACAAGATTAAAATATACAAATAACTAAAACTACAGCAACTAAAACTATATCAATACATACGTAAAATAAATATATAAGATAAATTTAATTAATCCATTTTTATAATTAGAAGATTGTAGTGAATTACAGGGAAAACGTGACAACCAAAATCTATATTATTAAATGTCAAAAAAAAATGTTATAGCTTTATTAATTCAAAAAACTGAAGCTGAGACAAAAAACAGACGCAAGTTAGGTATTTCTACATTCCATTTTTGTCGTGGATTTTCTAAAATAAATTTTTTAAGGGTTTTTTTCATTTTACATTTAATTGTTTTAATTGATTCTGGTAATTTATTATGTATCTTAGGAGCAAGATAGGTATATTATTGTTGACTGAGTGATTTACTTACTTGTGGCACGATATGAAGATTTTTATTGCGAGTTTGATAGAAGTGAGAAGGTAAGTTAGCATGTTTAGTATTAAAGTGATATTTTTGAGCCATGCAGTAGAAGTATATTTGCCTAAGATCCATGATTTGACTTTCGGCACTCGAGTATCCATATTCTTTCGACAACATATGTTTTAAAAACCTTTTCTGTATAATCTGAAGCGTTTGGATATGGCACCTTAGTGCGCTTCCCCAAGCTAGAATACCATATCTAAGATGGCTTTCGACTAAGGCATAATACACAAAGTTGTTAAGCTAACTGAAGGATATCTTTTCAGAAATTTAAAGTTATATAAGATACGCTGCAGTTTTTTTACGGTATAATTTATATGGTATTGCTATTTCAGATGACTGTCAATAAATATGCCAAAGTATTTTATTTGTGTTACAGGTTGAAGCGCAAGATGATTTTTATTTATGGAAATGTCAAGGTGAATAAATTTGGGGAGACAGCTGATGTTGCAGAAGAAAGGTACGCATCTAGTCTTCTCTAAATTTACACTAAGTACTTTGTTGTCGAGCCAAGTCTTAATATTGAGAAAATCTGTTTCAGCCATGCGTTTGAGTTCATCTTAATCAGGTGCTTCGTAGAAGATTGCAGTATCATCTGCAAATCCCACAATTCTGCCCTTACTAGAGATTAAAAACAGCCCATTTATATAAATGTTGAATAAAATTGGACCTAGAATACTGCCCTGGGGCAGTGTTTTATTGGCTTTCGATCACTTTACTCTCCACTTACTTTTACAGACATATCTGC